CGGAAGAGACTAACATAGACTCTTAGAGGAGTTGGGGGGCACCACAACAAATTCTAAGATACAAGACGAGGAAACAAGACTTGACGGCAAAGGGGAAACAGCGAGTAATCTACCTAATGAGTCTGTTTTAATTGACGGCGGAACAGAAACAAAGAGAAATGATAAAAGTCGAAAGTTACTTAGAGTGATAGTAGACACGAAATTGTGGGGAGCCGTGATAGCCAAAATTCTTTGGGGAACATGGCACATAGAAGAATAAGTAAACATATTTAGCAAGAATCGAACTCACTACATTATCCTAGTAGCTAAACAAGCCTGCTAGCCATTAGGCTTCTGTATGCATGAGTAAGTGGAACCCGCACGCTACTGCCAATGCATTACTCTACAGCGCCTCCATCTATATATATATATATATATGTGTGTGTGTGTGTGTGTGTGTGTGTGTGTGTGTACGTGTGTGTGTACTGGGATAAAATACAGATCAGATATGGATCGGAATCCAGCAGAATGATAAAATAAAAACTAAATTGGAAGCATTTATCAATCTAACATGGTTCACTTTTTTATTAAAGATTCATCCTCATTTTTTAATTAAACAGTATTAATTAATTAATACTGTTTAATTAAAAACATATTAATTAATTATTTTTTATTTAAAACAGTATTATTTTTTTTTATTTAAACAGCATTAATTAATTAATACTGTTTAATTAAAAAAAAAACAGAGCATTTACTTAAATAAATTGCAGTGGGACCTCCGTTCATGAATTTAATTCTTTCCTGAAGCCCGTTCGTAATCCGAAATGTTCATTAACCGAAACTATTTTTCCAATAGGAATAATGGATTAATCCGTTCCTGGTCCCAACTTATTTAAACTTTTAAAACAGTACTTTGTGCACACGTTTATACACAAAACTAATGAAAATCATTAAATCTAAGAAAAAAATTACTGAATAGATAAAATATAGATGAATATTTCAATTTTACCGTACCCGTAAGTAGGAGAGTTGATGGCGTAAGTGGAATGTTGTGCAGAAGGGGAAGGAAAATTATGTTATTGTTTAGAAAAGGGAAGACATGATCATCTCTTTATTTATAAGAATAGTATAGATCACTGATTTTGCTATATAAAACTGAGTAGAAAGAGACAATATCATCAACAATTATTTTTCTCTCAACTTTTCTTTTTCCTTTATCAATATCACTAGCTTTCTTTGGATCCATGACTAAGGACTAATAAATAGAAAAAAAGTCACAGTACAATAAAATTGGAAAAGAAAAGCACAGCACAACAACACATGAATGTATACAACACGGCGGTCGACTCAGAAATGATTCCGTTCGTGTTAACTCTGTTCGGCTCAGTTCGGCAATGTTGTTTGAGGACCGAAATTTTGTTCGATAACCGAGGCATTTTCATCTTGAATTTTCTGTTCAAAAACCGATTTGTTCGACATGTGAGGCGTTCGACAAACGCGGTTCCTCTGTTTGATATAACATAGCAATTCAGCACTCTAACGATATTTTCTTGTTTTTTTAATACTTTGTTTAGTTTTGGGGATACATTTTTCGCTAACCAGCCATGATAAAATTACCATATAAATCTTCTTCATCTATGTGCCCTGACCCTTCAGGACGTGAGCGATCGTACCTTTCTACTCTCCTAACCCTCAGCATCAGGGTCATGGGGGTTAGTGTTTGCCTTCGGTATGCCCTGTGAGGGTTAAGTTTTCCAAGCCCCTCTTCCTAGATATATGTCTAGGTGTCCCTTTCTGATTCTGAGTATAAATGTTCTTTTGTTGACTTCTTCGTTTCTTACTCGATCCATCCATACAATTCTCATTATCCTTCTGTATAACTACATTTCTGTTGCCTCCAGTTTCCTCTTTATCTGTGGTGAGATTATCCAGGATTCACTGCCATACATGAAGATACAGTGGAACCTCAGTTCACGAATTTAATTCGTTACTGAAGGCCGTTCGTAACCTGAAATGTTTGTAAACCGAAACTATTTTTTCCAATGAGAACCAATGTAGCGGAAAAAAAATCACAGTACAATAAAAATGGAAAAGAAAAGCACAACACAACACACGAATGTATACAACATGGCGGTCGACTCAGAAATGATTCCGTTCGTGTTAACTCAGTTCGGCAATGTTGTTTGAGGACCGAAATTTTATTCGATAACCGAGGCATTTTCATCTCGAGTTTTCTGTTCGAAAACCGATTTGTTCGACATGTGACCCGTTCGAGAACCGAGGTTGCTCTTCATTTCTACAAAAATAACGTATAAATATAAAATATGATAAATCCCTGTCGAAGTTAATCCATTTTATAATATGCTGTCAGTGTTTACGTTAAGGTACGTTTCGTGAGCAGATATGATCGTTCGGGAAAGATCGTCGAAGATTTGTTGTTTATAAACAGCAATTTGGACTTTGCTAACCAGACGCTTCTTTGTGACTGAATGATTAACAGCACATCAGATCAAATGAAGGTTGCCTTTGGGGTTACAATTTCGATTCCTGTTGAAGAAGCACATATTTTTTAGGAAATTTATCGAACATTCAGACCGGTAAAAGTAATTAATACTGCTTAACTAAAAAACAAAACAAAAAAAACAGAGCATTTACTTAAATAAGTTATATGTATAAAAATAACGTATAAACGGAATATATATATATATATATATATATATATATATATATATATGCATGTATGTACGTGTGTATTACGAAACAATTTCTGATAAATCTGTAATAAAAGCGAAACATGTGAAAATCATCGTTCATTTTGGAGTAGGCGTTCCGTTTAGCATGAAGCTCTTCGTAGCCGAGTAGCCAAAAACAGGTCGGATCTAACGACGTTTATTCCTGCATAACACCGACATCCCATTGTAACAGATATATTTACCAAAAGTACACAAAAATATCTTGAAATACTAAAGAATAAATTTATTCAATAGTTGGCGAATGCAGCTATAATCGTTGCCTTCAGCTCCTCATCTTTGGTGTTACAAAGAGTTTTGTTGGTCTCCTGTTACCAAACATAGGATCTTCCGGAAGCTATCCTCTTGACCCAAGGTAGCAAAACCTCCTCAATGTAGGCCTCCGTGTTGAGTTTGAGGAAGATGAATGGAGTTATAACGTCGCCTTCACTAGTGATCACTCCAAACGCCATGATGTTGACTGGATATATCATCCAGCTCTTTCCGAATCCTCTACACACTCCTTAGATTGATACCCAAACACTCTGAATTGTTTGTATTGGCGCTTCCGGCGCGAATGCCAAGCACTGCAGCATGCCGTTTCCACATTTCGGGCGGAGAGAATTGCCTCATGGTGAACTTTTTCTCACAGACGATGCCAAACTGACCCTACCATACTGTGCAGTCGACAAAACAAAAAACAACGCGCATGCGCAAAATTAAAAATATAAAATGGCGACAATTTACCCATCGCCCAATATATGTAATGACATATTTTTATGTATCAAGAACAATATTGGGGGGAAGATGTATGACAAAATGGAAAAAGTTTTCATGTGACTCGTTTCGTCCTTTAGGACTTCATCGGACTAAATTTTTTACGTTGTTGCGACCTCTCATGCGCATGTATGATGAATGCTGGGAATTTTTAATTAATTTTTTTTTTACACATATATATATATATATATATATATATGCACGTTTTATTGAATACGACAGACAAGGTGCTTTGCTTTAGTTTTTTATACAATTTCTCATTTTATATAATTTATCCTACGAAAAGAAAAAAATTCTAAGATAACGTGAGAAATTGTAGAAAAGTTACATATATATATATATATATATATATATATATATATATATATATAACGTAGCTGATTTCATTTAGATTATTTTTCCTTGTTTCCATCACACTATGATAATAGGTTTGCTAGGAATGTTGAAATGCTGTAATAGCCACAGTGTAATATTTGCCACTTTCACACACACGCACACACACACACACACAGACGCACAAACACACATATATAGTGGCTTTATTGCCTTGCTTGGGGCTAAATGATTAAAAAGAATTAGAGAAGGAAAACAATCGGAATAAAAAGTTGATAGGCACAAAACAATGTTTTAAATATAAAATGGGGCGAAGATGTCGCATTATTAATACAAGAAGAGGGAGAAGTAAAAAAAAACGAAATAGTAATATTTATTATTATTATTATTAATAGTAGTAGTAGTAGTAGTAGTAGTAGTAGAAAAAGAAGGAGAAGATGAAAAAGGAAGATAATAAGTAGAAAAATCAGATTAACAAGAGAAGAAGAAAGCATTTTCCAATGATATTTTTCCTTCTTTCCAGTCTGAAATTCCAATGATCTCACATCTGTTTCTTTCCTGAATCTCATGAGACGCTATCTTCGTGTGAAAACGAGGAGTACCAATTGGTCCGCTTGACATAACTAAATTTGATGTTATTTATCTGGCCGTCCATCTTGTAGAATCGACAACACCTTTCCGGTAGAAACGGGAAGGTCAGCTGACAAGTGATGCTCTTCTCATTCGACAAGCATGGGGGTCATGTGACTTGATATCATCATCTGACCGTCTAATATGAGTTGGTACTTTTTTTTTTTTATTGACAGGGTAAATCTAATTTGGCCGCGTCACTGCCTGGGGCAAATGTCTTATCGCTGTAAAGTGTTTGTCTGGCTTGTTGGGATTTCGACCACAAGGAAAAGTGGACAATCTCCGGACAAATAGAAAGGAGAAAGGTTAGAAGGAGAATCGGGAAGTGACGTGGTAGCAGTGGGGAAAGGTGGAAAATATAGAAAATAAGGGTGAGGAAAGGAAGAGAGAGAGAGACAGACTGACAAATATATATATATATATATATATATATATATATATATATATATATAATAAAAAGGCTCAAACACTAATATTCCATGGTTATAATTTATTACATTGGAATCGTAATGAGTTTGGGTAGAGTTACAAAGGAGAAGAAATTAACAATATCTAAAGGTTTGTATAAAACAGAGAAAATGTAAGGCTGAAATGAAAGTAAGAAAAAGGAGCAATGTAAGAAAGAAGGAAAGAAGATTCAGAAAAAGAAAAGGTGAATAACAGAAAGAAAGAAAGAAAGAAAGAAAGAAAGAAAAGAAAGAAAGAAAGAAAGAAAGAAAGTGAAGGAAGCTTCAGGAAAAGGAAAGGTGAATATCTGGAAGAAAGAAAGAAAAAATTAAAGAAAATCAGAATAAGGAAAGATGAATATCTGTAAAAAAGAAAGAAAGATATTGCAAAGAAGAAAGAAAAAGAAGATTCAGAAAAAGGAAAGGTGAATATCTGGAAGAAAGAAAGAAAAAATGAAAGAAGTTTCAGAAAAAGAAAAGGTGAATATCTTTAAGAAAGAAAGAAAAAAGAAAGAAAGAAAGAATTTTCAAAGAAGAAAGAAAAAGAAGATTCAGAAAAAGGAAAGGTAAATATGTGAAAGAAGGAAAAGAGAAAGAAAGAAAGAAAAAAGTAAGAAAGAAAGTGAAAGACGATTCCGAAAACGGAAAAGTAAATATCTGAAAGAAAGAAAGAAAGAAAGAAAGAAAGAAAGAAAGAAAGAAAGAAAGAAAGCAAGCAAGAAAGAAAGAAAGAAAGAAAGAAAGAAAGAAAGAAAGAAAGAAAGAAAGAAAGAATATGGAATGAAGAATAAAAAAAAGGAAAAGTGAATATCAGGAAGAGAGAAAGTAAAAAGTATAATATGAAAACACGAAAAGAATTTAGATATAAAATGAAAACTTGAAATTGATAAAAAGAAAAAATCGCAACGAATTAAGAAGGGAAAAGAGAAAGAATTTTAAGAAGATGCTAAAAAATAAAAAGTGAGATGATGAAAAAGGAGAGATTAGAGAAAAAGAAAAAAATTTCGAAAGAAAAGACAAAGAGAAAAAAAATATATCTTCAAAATATGGGGAAAAAATATAAAGAAAAAAAAAGGAAGAATAAAAACAAATAAGAAACCCGAAAAATGAAGAAAAGTGAAAGAAAGTGAAAAATGCTGCGAATAAAAAAAGTTTCAAATGAAAAAAGCAGGAGAAAATTAAGAAAGAACTAATGAAAGAAATGCATGTGAATATCAGTAAGTCCTCATGGTGAATTACACAACAAATATTTATTTTTCAATATAATTCACTTTCTTGTCAATGCACTTAATGTTTTATTAATATTAATTATATATATCGAAAGAAACATTTCAGATCAACATTCTGTTAATAAGTCTGTTTCTTTCTATTGACTTATTAATGTAACTTGTATAAACTGTACAATACGAAATAGAAAATAGTCTGCAGTTTAAAATGTTTGAGGAAAAACAATGTAAGCAAAAAAAAAAAAAAATTTAAGGATAAATGTGAAGCAAACGAACATTTGGAGATTTTCATGAAAAAAGGGAGTGAAGAAAAAGAAAAAAAACGAAGAGGAAAAAGACAAGAGTATTCGAAAAGTTAGGCAAAAGGAAGAAGGATGAAAATGTTGAATAAATCAAGAAGGAAAAAAGAGGAAGACGAGGAAAGATGAAGAAGAAAGAGAGAAACGGCTAGAGTGAAGAAAAAATAAAGACAAAAGAAAAAGAATACGAAACAAACATGAGGTGAAGATGATGAACTGGAAGGAAACGAAAAAGAAAGAGAAGAAAGGAAAGGACGATGAACAAAAAAAAAATCATGGGTTAGAGAATGGAATGCCTGAGAAAAAATAATGATATACTTTGAAGAAGAGGAAGAAAAAGAAGAAAAAGAAGGAGAAGAAGAATTGAAACAAGAAGAAATGAAAAAATGATAAAGAAGAAGAATTAGAAGGAGACGAAACGATAAAATGGAAACAAGAAGAAGAAATAACATTTGGATAAAGAAGAAATGGAAGAAGAAAAAAATAGCTGTAAGAATGAAAAGAAGAAAAAATGAAAAAAAATGAAGCAAGAAGAAAAAATATAAAGATGATAAAAATAAAGAAGAAAAAATTGGAAGAATAAGAAATGAAAGAAACAACTGGATGAAGAAATAAAGAAATAGGTAAAGAAAGAATAAGAAAATAAGTAAAAGAGAAAAAGTATGATAAAATAGATAAAAAAGAAGAAGAAGAAAGAATTAGAAAATAGATAAAGAAGAAAAAGAAAGAAAAATAGCTAATGAGAAAATAAGTAAAGAAGAAGTAAGAATAAGAAAACAGGTAAATAAGAAGAAGGAATGAGAAAATAAACAAAGAAGAAGAAAGAATGAAAACTAGGAAAAGAAAAAAACGAATGAAAAATAGATAAAGAAAAAGAAAATAAGTAAAGAAGAAGAAAGAATGAGAAAATAGGTAAGGAAGAGGAAAAAAGAATGAGAAAACAAGTAAAGAAGAAAAAGAATGAGAAAATAGGTAAAGAATAGAGAGAATGAAAAATAGGTAAGGAAGAATGAGGAGGAATAAGAAAATCAATAAAGAAGAAAATAAATGAAAAATACGTAAAGAAAGAATGAGAAAATAG